TAAAAAATGGAAAACTTTTAAAAAAAAAAAAAAAAAAAAAAAAAGAAAACAGAGGAGAGCTTAGGCCACTCTACAAGTTTCACAACTCACCTAATAAAATTTATATTAAATCTTGCGGTTACAAAGTGACAAGAGCCATAACTCACCTCGTATGAAAGTACTAGATTCTCGTCTATAAAAATCACAACCAAATTTATATCAAGCTCTTGTTTGGTGTCGACTCTCACCATATTTTTAGGAAAATTTGCCCCGTTGAAAAATAGGTGGGCCCCTTTCCAGCCGTAATATTTTGACTCACAAAATTAGTTAAATTACCATAACTGTCCTTCTTTCAAAATTAGTGTATCAAATGTTAAAAGGATATAAATGTAATCATTTAGCAAAAAGGGCGGTTACCAAATTATCGTAAAAAAAATTCTAAACGTTTGGTGAGTATTAGCTTCAAACACGCGCTAAGATTTGAAGTTCCATTTTAGAAAATCAATCTTATTAAAATGAGCAACTTAACACCAAACATATTGATTAATATTTAAATTATGATATCTAGAACTGTTGAAGTTACAACACTGTCTATGTGATATATTCAATTAAAATTGTTGACCTCACTTGTTGTAGAGGTGACGTGACAAATAGATTCCAAATCTTCTAACATCCGTGCAAGTTTTAGTTCTGTACACTTGGACAAATTATTAGAATATATGGCTAGACTCTGACTATGGAGATGGTCGCAGACATTCTGACGATCAAGTCAATAGGATAAAATATGTAATTGGGTGTGGGACAGGCTTAGGGGACAAGTTTATCAAAAGTGAAGAGGAGATGGGAACTGGGATACAGTGAGGAACAAGATAGGAATAATGTAGTAGTATGGTGTGACAACATAAACTCGCATTACCTAAAAAATGAGACCACTTGTGATATTTTATAATGGAAGATGATGAAGGTAAGCCGTTGGATGAAGATACACATGGCTTCATCCACACAACTAGGCTTTCTTGTTTTAAGCATCAATTAATCATTCCTAGGTCATGCTGCAATGAGTGCGGCGATGACTGTAAGATTTGACATGACTTACCGATTGAATGGGGCAATCTTTTCAATGACATATCAAATCATTCATTTGCCATAAGATTTTTCATGATGATCATCTTTTGAAATGCCTCTAGCGTGTTCACTTTAGCTGCGGTTGCTCGATTGGATCTAATTTCGATATACAAGCTCGACTCGTTTGTATTAGTTCGACTTTGTCATATCGACTCGGACATTGGCGTCGCCACAATCACACGGCACCATATTAGTTCGACTTTGTCATATCGACTCGGACATTGGCGTCGCCACAATCACACAGCACATGTGCTCGTATATTTTTTGAAATAGATTTTGCCATATGGTGATTGAAGCCTCATTGACGAGACATAATAATAATTCCCAAGCCCATGTATGGATTACTTATATAATGCATGGACTTTAAGATTAAACAACATGTCGTGGTTTTGTTCTTGGATTATTTAAACTCCTTTGTGGAGGGACACATTTGTACCGTAGCATCATTAGTCCCCTAAGTCTAAGCATGCCTATTCATAGAATGCGTGGATTAATAATAATTGAACAAAAGACAAGCTTTGGCGATGCCCTTGCCTAAGGGATAAGCCACTGGAAACTGTTGAAGCCTATCACAAAGCTGAGCCTCATTGACGAGACATAATAATAATTCCCAAGCCCATGTATGGATTACTTATATAATGCATGGACTTTAAGATTAAACAACATGTCGTGGTTTTGTTCTTGGATTATTTAAACTCCTTTGTGAAGGGACACATTTGTACCGACTAGCATCATTAGTCCCCTAAGTCTAAGCATGCCTATTCATAGAATGCGTGGATTAAAGAAATAATTGAACAAAAGACAAGCTTTGGCGATGCCCTTGCCTAAGGGATAAGCCACTGGAAACTGTTGAAGCCTATCACAAAGCTGAAATACATTGAGGCGAGGCCCTTGTATGAAGGGCGAGCCACTGAAAACTATTAAAGCCTATCATAAGGCTGAAAGCCCTTTCATAAAGGCGAGCCACTAAAAACTATTGAGGCCTATCACAAGGCTGAAATAAGCTGTGGCTAGTCCCAGTATGAAGGGTGAGCCACTGAAAACTGTTGAAGCCTATCACAGGCTGAAATATGCTTTTCCATGATATGGCTTGATGAGACACATGCACACTGATGTGAAACATCTCACTTTCCTAAGAAAAGACAAACAAGCAGTTGACATACATTGAGGACAGGTGCCATACGCATTAAATGCTCAATGATGGCCCTTTGCTGTAACCATCAGAGTTGACACGCCTGAAGAGTATGTGTACTACATGGTAAAATTTGGAGCCTCAATTAAAATCTAGATAGGCGCCTTTTGGGATTCAATGGTTCTAATGGGCTTACAGTTGGACGTTCTTGATTTTATGGCATAATGATCAAATGGTTGGGATTCATACCCTTTGCCTATATAAGGGCACCCGTTGCTATTATGCAAGCTTTTTATATTGAAAATTTGTGTTAATCCTAAGAAAGTTCTAAGTTTTCTTTGCAACGCTTGGCGAATAAAGCAATTTTTCAGTTATCGTTCTTTTCCTGTGTTCGTTTTTGTTTCTATTTATATTGAAAATTTGTGTTAATCCTAAGAAAGTTCTAAGTTTTCTTTGCAACGCTTGGCGAATAAAGCAATTTTTCAGTTATCGTTCTTTTCCTGTGTTCGTTTTTGTTTCTATAAGTGTAGTAGTTGACATATATTGAGGACAGGTGCCATACGCATTAAATGCTCAATGATGGCCCTTTGCTGTAACCATCAGAGTTGACACGCCTGAAGAGTATGTGTACTACATGGTAAAATTTGGAGCCTCAATTCAAATCTAGATAGGCGCCTTTTGGGATTCAATGGTTCTAATGGGCTTACAGTTGGACGTTCTTGATTTTATGGCATAATGATCAAATGGTTGGGATTCATACCCTTTGCCTATATAAGGGCACCCTTTGCTATTATGCAAGCTTTTTATATTGAAAATTTGTGTTAATCCTAAGAAAGTTCTAAGTTTTCTTTGCAACGCTTGGCGAATAAAGCAATTTTTCAGTTATCGTTCTTTTCCTGTGTTCGTTTTTGTTTCTATAAGTGTAGTCTTAGGAAGAACACATTTTCTAATTGAATTTTGTAATTGTCTTACCAATGACTTTAATAACTAGGAAGACCAGTGTGTTAAAACCTCAGAACTAGGTGATCTTAGCGTACTAGCTGCTAAGATGGGTTTAATTGCTCTTATCTATACTGATAAGATTATGGAGGCTACGGGAGTCTCATAGTGCCTGGATAATGTAGGAGGGATCAGTAGATTAGAGTATAAGGTGGGGGCATCGTTATGGTTGATATGTATGAAACAGAGTCAACTAATCAGTTTTAGGGAAAGATGTAGGATCCTTGATAATATTGAGATGTTAGTACCCACTCCTGACAAATGAGCCTATTTTCCTAAGTAGGAGTGCATTGCTGTTAGCGAAGCCATTCTTTGTAGAGGCATGAGATTGCCTTTGCACCCCTTCTTTAGGTACATCATTAGACTATACAACATCGCCTCCACCTAGCTCTTTCTCAATGCTTGGAGCCATTTACTAAGGGTCTTTCTTTTGTGGAAAGAGGCCAGTGGGGACGAGGACATGCCTCCTCATGTCTTATATACCGGATTCCAACTTAGGAATTGTTCTAGGGATAAGGACAATAAAGGTGTTAATGTATTAATCCTTGGGGCTCGCATGTGTCCTTTATTTAGAACACTTCCATTTTCATTAAGAACTGAAAATCTTCCTATTTCTAGATTTGGGGTCAATGGTAGATAGTGGAGGACAATGTGGTACCAAAAATCACTGTTTCGACCCAGTATCATGAGTATAGTAAGTTTTGTTTTTCAAGCACTAGTATGCATTTTCATATTATTCATTATTTACTAACTTTGCCCTTATGCAGCTGTAGTCAACCGGTTAGAGCTCGAACCAGAGAAGTGGGCAGTTTGTAGATGCATTTAAGGCTTTTCTATCGACCAGAGGCAGTACAACAACTTGATTTCAAACTACAATATCTCTGTTAAACATCAATTGATGGCCTCGAAAGGTACAACCTATCTTCTTTAGCTTGTTGTTAATATATATTTTAAGTCTTAATGTTAATGGATCTGATACATTTGTGGAGAAACAAGAGAAAACAATTTACGCTAAGCCCGACCTGTTAACGCTGCATCACTTGGCGCGAGACAAGAAAAAATAAACCTTTGGGTATAACATTGCAGTTGATAAATCCCAGAGAAGAGAATTAACCTATATCTCTCATGAGAAGAAGACAACAATTGAGGATGCTAAAGTCAAAGGAGTAAGGTGAGAAATAAGAGGTCGCCAAGGAGAAGGCTGCAAAGAAAATTGTGGAAATCTCCAAGAATATCGACACCTCTCCTCATCCTACGAAGCAACTCATGATTGAGCAGTCCTAGAAAAGGCCTTTGTCCATAGAGCCCATTCAAGCCATTCAAATAATAGACTTGGAAGAGGTCAAGGAACAAGAGGAAAAAGCCTACTGAAGAGCCGAAGAGGCGAAGAGTATGCTAAGGGACTAGCCTTTGAAGGAAAAGCTTGTACGTTCTTGGAATGTCAGGTCGATGAACTAAATATTGCTTGTTTTGAAATGCTCTCCACTGAAGTCCAGCCCGTTGCGAGGGTTTGCCAAAACTATAGACTATAAGTACTCCAACTACGAAGATACCTACAATTCGGTTTATATGACGGAGACTGGCACCAGTAAGCCTTTAGTTAAGAAAACTTTTAGAGGATGGATGTGGCTAAGAATGAGGCGAAGAAGTTGATTGTGGAGTTCTCCATAGTGAATGAGGTAATTGAGGAGGCCAAGCTAAAGTAGATAGAAGAGAAATAGAGTATCACTTTCCTTAATGCTGAAAATATGAAATTGAAAAAGGAAGTGCACCTTTCCAAATTTGAAGTTCAAAGCCTAATGAAGTGGGTCAAAACTTTGATAACCTTTAGATGACCATCTCTTCTGATTTGGAGGTGGAAAACAAGGAAAAGGGAGAGCTGGGCTCTCAAAATAGCAAGTCAAATATTGAGGTGGCAAGCTTAAGGTAACAAGTCATTGAAGTGGGGCCTATTGCTGTTAGAGAGTACTAGGCACATTTCCATGAAATCATGGAGTATGATGGCCTTAGAGCTCATTAGAGAAAGGTGGGTACAAAGAGGTACTCGAAAAGCTTGAAGCTAATCATCCTGAATTGGACTTTTTGGTCCAAAAGGAGGAGTTTCTTTCGGTGTTCCCCACCACTCCTATGGAGGATGCATACTCTACCCAAGAGCTTGAAGATGAGGACGAAGCAGCTAAAACAGATGCCACATTATAGAGAAAGGCCCTTTCTTTGTCATTTTTAGTGTAAAAATGAGGCATATTCCTCTTCTGCGAATTTATTTGATGAAAAAATTCTCCTCTTGGTTGTTCCCATTGTTTTTCCCTTCGCAAATTGATAAAAGTATTACGACTTTGCTTTAGTTGTGTGTAAACAAGTATCACACTTTTGATATGGATAATATTTTAAACGATTCACCAAGTTAACCTACCTCATAGGCACATCGCCCCAACATTAAGGATTTGCTAATAATGGGATCGATGATTCGAGCGACAAATGTAATTTTATGTTTTAATCATTAACGCTTCCTCACAAATTATACACAGATTATATAATTGAACTAGTTGCATATTTGAATTGGACAGTAATTTGACCAACCTTCATGATCAAACTAATTAATGCGAACCGCATTCAAACAAACTTGTCGACCTTTGATTAGTGCAACACCTCGCCTAGTAATTGAATCGAGGCTTTCGATGAATCAAATTCGCAATGGTTATGGTAGATCGACATAAGGCATCGCTCAACAATGTTATTTCAACAATTTGAAAATTTCATTCGTGGTGTATTTATAATTATTTTAAATTATGATAGTGGGCTTTTGCTATTAATAATATCGATAATTCTAACAACTTACACGACTCATTTGACAATTGGGCCTAATTATCAAACACCATTTATACGATGTCCTCCTTATTGTAGGTGGAGGTGAATTTTGTTTGAGGTGCGTTAGCAATTTATAAAATATGATCATTTATTCATTAAAAAGAAAGCATATGCATAGGCTAAGGATGAAACTCCAGCTTTGGGAATGCAAATGATAAGCTAAAAAGTAGACTCTGCCTTAAATATGAGCCCAACTCATTTGTAACCCTTAAAGTGTTTAATATTGCATGGATGGATTGTGCCTTTCTACCTAGGTTTACAATTCTGTAAGTTTTGGGGCACAATTCTTCCAAGGTGTGATATGGGCCCTTCCAGTTGGGACCAAGGTTCCCACACTTGGTTTTTTTCGAAGGGACCAAAAACATTTTTAGTACAAGATCACCTCACTCAAATGACCTTTTCTTTATCTTAGCATTATAGTAGCAGGTCGTTTTCCTCTGATATGAGGCGAGCTTGACCTTCAAGTCATTTTCCATTCTTCAAGAAATATAAGTTCACACATTCTCAATGCACCATTTGATATCTCATCAAAATGTAAGCGACGAGGTGTAAGCAAACCTACCTCCACTAGGCTCAATTTTTCGGCTCCATAAGCCATATAAAATGGTCTCTTATAGTTTTGTTGATCACTTCTACCCGACCATTTGCTGGTGGATGATGATGTGTTGAGAAATGCTTCTTAATACCTAGCTCATCACATAGGTCTTTTACTTTTTTATTGTCGAATTGCCTCATATATTCAATACGATCAAATGGGAATTCCAAACCAATAAATGACGTTTTTTCTAAATAAACTTAGATGTGTTGGCTTTAGAGATTTTAGAAAGAAGTTTGGGCTCGACCCATTTGATGAAATAATCAATGGCGAAGGGCTCTCTTTGCACGTTGGAGAAGCATTGACATTTGTCGTACTTTCACACACCTAATGCATCTCTTTTTAGTATGGGCCAGTAATATCCTTGCTTGAGGATTTTTTGTGTCAGTGCAAGTCCCTTGGAGTGGTTGATGTACACTTCTTCATGGATCTCTCTTAGTGAATAGTTTGCCTTGCCATTTTCAGTACATCGTAAAAGGGGCGAGGAAAATCCTCTCTTGTAGAGCACTCTCCTCCTTGTTTTCTGGGCATCTTTTTTGCTATCCGGTAGTACTTGGTCTTTGAGGTACGTGATGATAGTCTGTATCCATGAGGGGGTGCAGTCGATCCACAACACTTCCTTTTTCTTCAATGTGGAGAGACTGGATAGATACTGATAAGTGTATTTTTGTACACTTTTAGACACTATAACAAGTTAATTATTGATTAAAGAAGCGGATATTGACTCACAATTGGGTGATTTTGGCTTTTGTAGGTCATTAACCCCAAAAGGTAAGAGAACAAGGCAAAAGGAAGTGAAAAAGGATCGAAAGCGTACAAAAATATGAATTTGGGGACCAAAGTTCACAAGTACCAAAAGTTCAAGGACCTATGCTTGCAATTTTGGAGGGCAAAAGTAATATGAAAATCAAAATTTGGGGACTATATTGTACATGATCAAAGTTGAGGTACCTTGTATACATTTAAATGAAGGACTAAGTTGGAAAAAGAAATGAAGAAAGCTTGCGCGCGATTGTGCTCGTGCGGGAGTCTCTTTGTGATCTCCTGAGACCAAAAGCCTTTAACGGTGCAAGCGCTGTCTTCTAACTGGGCGAATTTTTTCTGTTTCGCATAAATATTGAGATTTCTTCCACAATTTCACTTGAAGCAATTTTAGCCATTTAAATACCGATTTGTTAGTCATTTTTTAGAGCTTCTTTGGCTAGGTCTTCTTCCTCTTTCTTTATTTTTCTTTCAATTTTCTTTTACTTTTCTTTCATTTTCTCTTCTTTTTCTTCCCTTTTTTTTTTTGGGCATTTTGAAAGTGAAATCAAGAGCACAAGGAGAATACACATTCAAATAGGTAGAGAGATTTTGAGAAAATCGAGTTCAAGAGATTTTGCGAAAATCAATTTCAGGCCTTTATCATTATCAAAAAGCAAAAAAAAATGGTTGTATCTTGAATCTTATATTTTCTTCTATTGGTAATGTATTGCACAAGATTTTTTCATTTTTATCATATACTTAACATGGGCTAAATATCTGTGTTGGGATTTATGGTGGTAACTTAACCTAGCTTTTAATTAATTTTAATGTTTGCTCTTTAATGTTAAGTTATTCATTTTCATTTATTATTATTATTATTATTATTATTATTATTATTGCATTTTCATTGATGTGGCCAATGAATGATTATGTTTAGTGATTTGTACGTCGTTTGATAGAAGATTGTACATTTTAGATCAAATAGTAGAAACCTTATGTTTGTGTAAGCGAAAGAGATATACCTCTAACGCTTAGTGGAAACCCTAGGTTTGTGTAGGGTATAGAGATATATCCCTAACCCTTGGTGACCCATTGAGTTATTTTCACAAAGATTTAATGCGTTTGGTTTTAATCGACATAGAGATATAGTAAGTTAAACCAATTAATTAAAGTTAATTTCGCTCGAGAGAAGTAAATTAACTAAAATTGGAAGATAGGGTTTAACATCGTGAATGAGGAATTTGTTAATTAACTTGTGAAGAAATTAATTAGGCGACGGTTAAGCAAAACCATAAATCCTAACCATTTTTGTTTCCGAAATTCTCAAGATTTTTATATTTTCTTATTTTATAGGTTTTTAGTTAATTTCCTTATTCCAAAATCATAGTTTTAATTGTGTGTGTTTATTTTTATTTTTAGAATTAAATTAATTAAAGTTATGTAATCGAAAGTATACATTTCTTAAGGGATCGACAACCCTAACTCGAAAGGTCCACTTTATTACTTGAACGTGATTCGTGTACTTGCGACATGTACTTTTAGCGAATAGTTACTCCAATGAGTGCCATTTTTAGCAGGTCAAAATCTTTATTGCTAGCTAATTTGGATAAAGCATCATCGGCATTAGCATTTTTTGTTTGCGAAATGTGCATTGGCTCGAACTTTCCAAATGAAGGAAATTAGGTACATTACGGGCTTAAGGTATGAGGCCATACCCTTACCCATTGCAGTGAAATTACTATTAACCTGGCTCACCACTAATTGAGAATCTCTCTATATGTATACCATTTTAACTTGCATTTCCTTAGTTAATCTGAGGCTAGCCAAGAGAGCTTCATATTTAGTAGCATATTGGAAGCCTTAAATTGAACCTCACTGCACAATTGAGCTTGCGGCCTTCAAGGCTCACCAAGACCATTTTGTTGAATGGAGGTTTAAAGAGAATGTTAACTGAGCTCCTATTGTATTCTCCATCAACATTCGTTTTAATCCATTGTGAGCTACTATGACCATTATTACTAGGGCATCGCAGTGAGAAAAATGTAGACATGCTGTGTCCTCTTGAGTGAAGATAATATGAGAAGCTTATCATTGGAGGGTCTTGCGGCTCTTTCGCATAATTCCTTTGGGAATCTCTAGTCTCAGGCCCGACGTATGAACCTTTAAAAATGGTATCTATTTTGCGTATGGGTTTGACATTCCTTTCTGTCTAGGGTCTTCTCCCTTACCTCTATCCCTCTAGGCCCTTGACCCATTTTCTTTGTCTCCTTGGTTGAGAGAAGCCTTTCTAGAGGTCTTATCGCCTCACCCTACACAAGCCTGAGCAGGACATATCCCTTCTTTGGCTATGATTTCTCTTGGAAAGGTACGATAAGAAGTGGCAATCCCTAGTACTATGTTGAGAACTTTGGTGATAAGAACAATAGGGGTCCAACCTTATGCTCGCTTCTTCCTTTATTTTATCTGCCTATACTCCTAGCATGAAGCAGTTGCCTAGATATAATTAGCGAGGCATCCTCGTATGCCAAAGTTGGTATAGGATTTAGTGTGGCGGAAGTGAGGTCCTGGCTAGATGTTTGGGTCATTGCATGCCCGGCTTGGTTTTACCGATGATCTACCAAGTGAAAAGTAGGGCCTCTTCCTCTTTGCTTTTGTACGGTATGAGTCCCATGACGGTCCATTGCGCCGGTCAACCAATTCTCTTTTAACAATTTCATGACTTGTTATTTCTGGTGGCCATTCATAGGTGGTCAGATTGACATTTTGCACATCTCATCGAAAGACAGCATTTATATTGAGGCCTTTTCTCATGGCAGAAAAGGTTTCTCTATATTTGACTTGTATGCAATAAGTCATCTCATCCAAGAAGCGTTCCATGGAGCTTTCTTGAGTCTCATTTGGCAGCCGTCTCATATCCTGGAGGCATTGAATGGGTGCTTCTCGTTCTTTGCTAGCTGCATATCACTTCAGGAATGCATTTTTAAGTTTTGGCCAACTTTTAATGCTTATAGTCGGTAATTTACTGTACTACATTTCAATCGCTCTGCTTAAGTTTAACTCAAACACTCCACATTTTATTGTTGGTGACTCTCCTCTTAGGCTTATGTGGCTTTTATAGTTGTTGAAGTACTTCATCGGGTCTTCCTTTCCTTTATATTTCGGGATCTTTGGGAGTACAAAGTGTATGGGTACCAAGATGTCTCTTAGGTCTTGGAGAAAGGTAAGTTATCGTCCTTGTTATCCAAGTCACATGATCTTTGGGGTCCATTAAAATCTTTATACTCCTTCGCCTGGTAACGAGGAGGTGGTTGGGATGGGCTAGCTTATATTCTTTGCTTTTGTTAACCTCTCATTTCTAACCTATTTTTATACAGTGAAGCTTGACTCTGAGCCGTATGTATTCTCTAGGCCTATGCACGAGTGGTGTTTGGGACCTACTTGTAGGTTCCAGAGGTTATTGAAATGACCTATTCTTTGGCCTTTGTGAAGGGACTATCTTTCAAACATACTGATAGATATCTGAGGCCCTTGTTTGTATACAGGAGGAACATTGAACTGAGTTTCCTTAAGCAGTTCAGAAACATGGTTTGTTGAATTATCTATACCTACTTTCCTTTCTATGGGGCTTTCTTATCTAGCATAGCGATGGGATGGAGCCTGCGGAGTTTGCACTTCATCCTCTTCTTGATGAAAATGGTCTTCCTGGGATGTGGGTGGGACATTTGATAGCCTACTTGATTTTGCATGTGCCTCAGGAATTCTTGTAGGGCAGCATTCTATTGAGTTGCACCATTATAGTGATCTTCCTAGCAAGTAGAGCTGCCACTCTTGATCCACCCCACCTGTGATTATTAGGTGGTCAGAGATGAGATGTCATGTTCTAGGGACCATTTCCTCAGGGGAAGCATATTTCCCTCCCGAATTTATGATGAATGGGAACTTTCCTTCAAAGAGGCTTTGTTTGACATGAATATTACACAAGATACAAGGGGAACACTTCAAGTAATTATTCTTTGAGAATTTTCCTTCACTTATAGGGCTTCCACTTGTTCTTTCTTTAAGAACAAAAACCTTTTCAAAGGGAGGGGAAAGGATTTGTATTTTTTCAGTAGCATTTTTCACCTGGATTTTTGTGGTTATTATAAGACAGTTCCTACTGACAGTGCTAATCTATTGACAACACATTTGTAGATACGACGTGACAAATAGATTCAAACTCTTCTAGCATCCATGTAAGCTTTAATCCTGCACAATTGGACAAATTGTTAGAGTATATGGCCAAACTCCGATGGTGGAGTGGCCCCATGCGCTTTAACAATCAAGTCAATAGGATAAAATATGTAATTGGGTGTGGGACAGGCTTAGGGCACAAGTTTATCAAAGTGAAGAGGGTTCAGAACTGTGGATATAGTGAGGAACAAAATGAAAATAATATAAAAGTATGGTGTGAGAATAAAAATAATAGTGAGGCATTACAAGAAAAAAAGGGACTACTTGTGGTCTTTTATCATAGAAGATGATGAAGGTAAGTCAGTGGATGAAAATATACGTGGCTTTATCCACGCAACTAGGCTTTCTTGTCATAAGCATCAATCAATCATTCCTACACCATGCCGTAATGAGTGTGGGGTGATTGTAAGACTTGACATGACTTATTGATTGAGTGGGACAGCCCTTTCTGTGACATGTCAAATCATCCACTTGCTATAAGATCTTTCTTGAAGATCCTCTCTTGAGATGCCTCTATCATGGTTTGGCGACTCGATTGGATTCGATTTTGGCATACAAGTCCGACTCATTTGTATTAGTTTAGCTCCATCATATTGGCTCAAACATTGGTAGCCGCACAATCACTCGGGGAATGTGCTCGTATTTTTTTGCAATAGATTTGCCACATGGTGTTTGGAGCCTCAATAACGTGGCGTAACAAAAGTTAAAATTATATGACTTGTTTAACTGTGCCTCTCATTCAATGCAACCTAGATTGATATTGTAATACTAGCGATAATATTGAGCAATGAGAAAGTTAATTAATAGATTTAAGATCATGAATAAAATGTAAAACATCACATTTAGATGAACGAATACTAACTTCAGCTAATTTTCTCCCGAGGTAGTCTAGTTAGCATATCAGCCAGACTGCTACTTCTTCCCACAACCACCGACGTCACTACCATCCATACATGCAAAAGATGAATTCGTATAGTTTGTTTCGGGCTATATATGAAGACATTTTTGTTACATTGAATTTGACCTCATATACTTAATAAGAAATCTATTGTTAAATTTTATGTGTTATATAAACAAAACTTTTGACAAGTAAGGGTGTGTTTGAGCCTCATTATTTGATAGAACAAATTTTGTAACAATGATTTTTTGAAAAATATATGATTAAAAAGTAGGAAAAAGTTTTAGATTTATAAAATTACTGTACTAGAAGAACGTGTGATTGAAAAAGAATTTTAAAAAATATAAAATTTTATATGATGGGGGCTTAAACATGGACTAAATTTCACTAACAATACTATTTGTACATCATGATTTACTAATGATGTGGATTATATTAACCTACTTCTATATGATTTTTTCCATTTTCATTTTCTCTCCCTCTTTTTTATATCACTATAGTCTCGTTTGGCCCTCATTTTTTCAAATTAAAATGGGTGAAATATTATTTTTTTTGGAGAATGAGTGATTGAAAAAGAAAGAAAATTTTTCGATTTATGTGTAATATTATTTTATAAAAAATTATGTGATTAAAAATATGATAGAAAAAAATGAAATTTAATTTGATGAGGACACACGGGGCTACATCAATTGATAAAACATGATACATAAGTAGTAATAAAATATTTCACATTACTTTTGTACTCTTTTACTTTATCCCAAACCAAACTTATGTCCCACACATAAATCCACAATCTATCATGTGGATCCCATCTAAATCCACAATCCACCTTAGCTCCCTTGGACTATCATGTACCGTATATTAACCTCTGGAAAAGGATTCGAAAAATCTCCTGAGAGAGGAGAAGAGGATATAAGCAGTCGTTGGTCCAAAGCAAACGTTAAATTGTTTCCTTGCACGAGGAATACTCAAATTCTATCTCACAAACTATCGCACCATCTATAAGTAGTATTAAAATATTTCACATTACTCCTGTACTCTTTTACTTTATCCCAAACCAAACTTATGTCCCACACATAAATCCACGATGTATCATGTGGACCCATCTAAATCCACAATCCACCTTAGTTCCCTTGGACTATCATGTACCGTATATTAACCTCTCGAAAAGGATTCGAAAAATCTCCTGAGAGAGGAGAAGAGGATATAGGCAGTCGTTGGTCCAAAGCAAACGTTAAATTGTTTCCTTGCACGAGGAATACTCAAATTCTATCTCACAAACTATCGCACCATCTGTGTGTGTGAATACGTCGTCAATGGAGGCGAAGCTATCAACGTGTTTTCTCAATGGAGGATGTTATGGCGGCGGAGGGACGAAGTTTAATCAAGTTAATGTACGATTCTCTCCTATGCCTTCTCGCCGTTTGCTCCCTGCTTCTTGTAAGATGCGTCAGCGTAATTTCGGGTGCTGCAATTTCATCTAATTTCCATTATCGTTTAATTTCATTTGCCAAAATAATAATACTGTTTTGATAATGTATCGTTTCATATTTTTCTTTGATGTCAGTTGAAGTTTAACAAATTTTTAATCCATGTGGATTAATTTACTTGACATTGTCGAAGAGTTCATTTGCAAGTAATTGGGGGCATTGGAACTGGGATTTTGAAATACTTCAATTAAATTATGAATGAGGTTTTTGATCAATTTCAGTTTTAGGTTTCAATTCCATACGTCGAATCTCTAAAACATAAGTTTAATTGCAATATAGAATCCGACAAAAAGTACAACAGCAAAAAATAAAGAGAGTAGTTGGCTTTGCTTCTTTTATAGAACAAGCCAGCTTTTTGGGCAGTACCACTCTTGATATTTTCCAAGAAACCCAGAAAGAAGATAATTTTTGGGGTTCAATTTCGAAGTGCCGGATCTAAAAAACGTCATTTCAATTGCAATGTGAAATCCAAAAAATAAAACAGCAACAACAAATAAGAGCATAGTTAGCTTTGCTTCTTCCACGTTAGAAGGGCAGTATCACTCTTGATATTGTCCAAAATAAGACAACTTTGTCTCCTTTTTTACATTTGAGCTAAGGCACACATGCTCTCAATAGCTTCATGAATCATTTTTTTGCCACATGGTTCATTGTTATAATCAAAATTGTCAAAATGTTCTTCTCAAATGTTTCACCACTATACAATATTTTCTTCATTTTTGATATTTTTTCATTTTGAGCTCTAGACATTTGATGATATTAGTAACTGAGGACCAAAATATTTACAGTCCACAAAATAAGAGGCAGCAACCGAAGAAGATCAACCTTGATCATCCAGAAAATACAAATATTCAGGTGAACGGTGATGAAGGCTCGGATCCAGGCATATCCTTCAAAGACAGCAATTCAGATTCAATTGAAGAGATTAAGCCCATTTCTGATGATAGTATCCCTATTACTAGAGAAGCTGAACATATAAATGAAGAAGATGCAAGGAATTCTTCTGCACCAAATGGAGTTGACTCTGTGGCAGAAGCTAAAAATTCGTCAAAGATTATGCATTCGGTATGAATCAAAACTTTACTTCTCCATGAATTTTTTCAATCTTGTATTAATTATTTACTTATGCTTTTTTAAAAATGCAAAGATAAATGTAAGCATTATTACCTCTCCTTCAATCTTAAATTGTTGATCTAATTTTTAAAGAAGAAAATATTAACTTTTCCAATTGTAGATAGTCAATTCTGAATGTTTCATGAGCTATCGTTATGTTATATGTTGTTTGGACTCAGGTGTAGGTGTTGAACACTGGTATAGATCATAAGTATAAGCCACACAATTTTTGTCCGATGCTGTATAAGTAAATTTGACATTAAAATATATTTTTTTTGTCAGATTATCTTGACTTCGGATAAGGATGCTGTATAAGTAAATTTGACATTATAAAATATTCAAGTTAATGTTTGAGAAAGAATGTACTTTGTAACTAAAACACTACAGTAGAGAAGGCATATTCTGTTCCTATTTTTAGTGAAATTTAGTTATTGGTTAGTGTTAGGTACTTGTCTCAGTGAAGAGTCATGCACTTTATAAAGGTCAATACGCTTGCCTATTCTGAGCTCTGCCAGTTTCCATATTCTTTTCAAGAAATCATTGCATTGAGTGTTTTTTTAATCACGAAACACCTTCTCAGTCGTTTCTAAACACATTTTCATGATGATTATCTATATAATAAATTACTTGTTCAATGATGGGGTGATTTTTCAAACACTGCGCAAGTTTGTTTCATATTTTAGCTCTTCATAAATTTTATACTGTGAGCTTGAGGCAGATGGTATCTATTTAGAATAGTCTTTCAAAAAGAATAACATAATTTGATTTTTATTAAATTTGTCTTAACTGATTCTTGGCACTTGTGTGAGAGATTTTTTTTAAGAAGTGACTATTAGAAAAGTTTCTTATTTTATCTTCTTATTTTTTTATTTTTTTTTGGTGAATGTGTGATTGAAAATTAGGGAAAAGTTATGGGAAAACGTGAAAAATAAATCATTTTTATTTTGGGAGAATGTGTGGTTGAAAATGAGTGTGGAGAGAAGTGATTCTCAAAGAATCAAAATCAGACAAGGGCTTGGTCTTCATTTTTCTGAACAGTAAGAGTAAGAGAATAATTGTGAATCTTGTTAAATCATTTTTTCTTTAAGGCAGTCCACCAATATACTGGGGACATCGGAAGGTGGGGAGCAACTTTCAGGCATTCATCTTGAAGATTTGATTGGGATGATAAGAAATGCTGAAAAAAGTGAGTCCTTTTTCTCTCAAACCACCCGTTACAGTTTTTAGGTTGTGTACTATGTTGTTATGTTTTGGGAACTTCACCTAACTTACATGCTAATCATGCTATAGATATTCATCTTCTTAACCATGCTCGCATCCGTGCACTAGATGATCTTGAAAAGATTCTTCATGAAAAAGAGGTTCTACAGGGAGAAATCAATATTTTGGAGACGAAACTGGCTGAAACTGATGCACGGCTGAGAGTAGCTGCTCAAGAAAAGATACACGTAGAACTCCTTGAAGACCAATTAGAAAAGCTACGAAATGAATTGTCTAGCAGGAATAGCAGCGAAGAGCTCGTGTACAATGTGAATAATTCACTCCCTTTTTCTCAAAGTAATGATGTGAATTCTTATAGTGAAGAATTCGATGTATGGAAAACAGAAAATATCTCACTCAAGAATGAGCTACAAGCTCTAAAGACACAGCTTTTTAATCTCAAGAAAACAGATGAACGTGTTCAAATATTGGAGGAAGAAAGAATATCTTTGGAATCATCTCTAAAAGAATTGGAGTTTAAATTCTCTGCTTCTCAGGAAGATGTTTCCAACATTTCTTCTCTAAAAGCAGAATGCAAAAATCTGTATGAGAAGGTGGAGCATTTGCAGCAGTTGTTAGAAAACGCAACCAAACAGGCTGACCAAGCTATTTTAGCATTACAGCAAAACCAGGAGCTCCGTAAAAAGGTTGACCAGCTCGAAAAATCCCTTGAAGAGGCTAATGTCTATAAGCTCTCATCAGAGAAAATGCAACAATATAATGAACTAATGCAACAAAAAATACAAATTCTCGATGAGCGTCTTCAAAGGTCAGATGAAGAAATAGAATCTTATGTTCAATTATATCAAAACTCTATGAAGGAATTTCAAGATACGCTTACTAATTTGAAAGAAGAAAGCAAGAAAAGATTACGTGATGACACTGTAAATGAAATGCCTTCGGAATTTTGGAGTCGATTATTGCTAATGATTGATGGATGGTTTCTCGAGAAGAAGGTTTCAGCGGAAGATGCAATGCTGTTGAGAGATATGATTTGGAAGAGAGATGGAAGTATTCATAATGCATACATGTCAAGTAAGGAAAAGACTGAGCGCGAAACCATTGCCACATTTCTCAGATTAACATCATCAACGTCAAGGTAAGTACATTTATATTGTGATTAGGACTTCCTACATACTACATGCTGGTTTCTAACCTGTATTTTTTTTTTTTTTTTTTTTAATGTTTAGTCCAAGATTACATGTCATTCATATTGCAGCTGAGATGGCACCCGTTGCTAAGGTATACTTCAACTAGTAGTACGGTGGATGCACTTTTTTCTGCTCTAATTATTTATGATCTTCAAAGTCCACTATAATTATTCCATGGTACTATTTCTTTATGACCATTGGAGCATCAGTTGATGTGCGTATTTAATGGATAGACGAGTTCTGTCATAATTTATCATTTGGGGGATATTTTCATAGAGAGAGGCATGAATTAATAAAGTAATGAACAGGAGAAGTGTAAACTTGAAAGGGAAAGGGTATTGAACATAAGAAACATTGCTTTCTTTAAAATCCATGAAGGGATTAAATAAAGTCATTCTTTGAATTGTGGATTAATACTGAACAGTGGAAATGGAGTAAATGCGTGGTTAATATTTTTCAATTCGTTATAAACATCTTCAATGATTTTGAGACCCCCATATGAAGAGTTTCACCAACACAATTCAAACCTGCAATGTTTCTCATATGAAGAGTTTCACCAACACAATTCAAACCTGCAATGTTTCCCCGTTTCTTTATTTTGTTTTGTTTTCTTTCTTTCAATTTTTGTCCGTATGGGCAGCATGGTGGTGGGGAATCTGATCATCTAATTTTTTGTAATTGAGTCTAGAAGGGATCTAGAAGATTTTTGGAATACTATATGAGATGCGTGTGTATGTATCAGTCAACGTGCCCATTTAACCAGTGATCTTATTCACATATGCACGTGTGCTTGAAAATAGGGATGTTGCAAGGAAATTTCCAGCTGTGCTTCTTTTGGCACATATATCTGGATACGCATTTTGTGTTAACTTGAATTATTAAAGAGTTTTCTTGTTTGTGTTTCAGGTTGGTGGTTTAGGTGATGTTGTGACTGGTCTAAGTAAAGCACTGCAGAAGAAAGGTCATCTTGTGGAAATTGTGCTGCCAAAATATGACTGCGCGCGTTATCAGCTTGTTCAAGACTTAAAGGTACTTGAAAATTGATATGCATATTCTTATCCTGGCATAATCTAATTTATTGCAAACTGATGGCATGTAATGCAGGCCTTAAACGTGCCTGTTGAGTCGTACTTCGATGGCCGATTATACAAAAATAAAATCTGGACAGGCACTGTTGAAGGTTAAAAATGTTATTACTTATGCCTATACTTTTTCATACGCATCAATTTATTGTTGTTCCATTTAAATTTTGTACTTGACCATGAATTTGAATTCTCTCAGGCCTTCCTGTTTATTTTATTGAGCCTCAACATCCTGGTAATTTCTTCTGGAGAGGTCAATTTTATGGAGAGAACGATGATTTTAAGAGATTCTCATTCTTCAGCAGGGCGGCACTCGAACTACTTCTACAAGTTGGCAAGAAACCAGATATTATTCATTGTCATGATTGGCAGACAGCTTTTGTTGTATGGATGTGATAGACTTAGTTAATTACTTCTCACCTTTTTAGAGTTTATGCTTCAATTTTAATTTTTTTTTTTTACAGGCACCGCTTTATTGGGATCTATATGTGGCAAAAGGACTTAATTCAGCTAGAATTTGTTTTACATGCCACAATTTTGAATATCAAGGAACTGCACCAGCTACAGAATTAGCATCATGTGGTCTTGACGTTTATCATCTAAACAGACCAGATAGGATGCAGGACAACTCGGCACAGGATAGGATAAATCCTATTAAGGTAGCAGGAGGAACTGTTTTGATAAGTTCAAATCCATTATTATTGTCAAACTAAAAGTGACACAAGTTCATTATGCAAAGCTTTACAAATTCTCTATTGCACAAACCACTAATCTAGGCAAATGCCTCACCCCCTATGCCCCCATGGATAAAGTAGGGAAGCTTTTATCATCTTCTTCCAATTCATTATTCTGTCAAAACTTTTCACAAGTTCCTGTCTTTTATCAGGGTGCAATTGTATTTTCCAATATTGTGACAACAGTTTCACCAACCTATGCACAAGAGGTGCGGAGTGCTGAGGTATGCATAATACCATTGAGTTTGTGAATGTCAAATGCTACTGTACTGTTACCTCTGTTTTTCTGTGCTCTGGGTTCCCACAACTAGGTCTGTGTGGTCAATCCAGACTGACCAGTAGAGTGGGGATTACTTTCCTAAAATGTGGGCATATACATAAATTTTGAAAATGAACAAACTTTTGACCACCTTAGCCAGCACCAAATTCTCTCTACATAATCTTGTTTTCTCAGGAAACACAAAGTGATAAGGTTGTCAAATAGATATATTTATAGGAATCTGTGAAAATTTGGAAAGAAGTCCTTTAGCAATTTAAAAGGGATAAGTATGAAGCAAGATTGCCAGTTTGATGAGGTACTCTATATTAATGTTTACCAAGGTCTTAACTTGTATATTTCATTTTTCCTATACAGGGAGGACAAGGCCTTCATGCAACACTTCACTCTCATTCTAAGAAGTTTGTTGGAATTCTAAATGGAATTGATACTGAAGCATGGAATCCAGCTACTGATAATTTTCTAAAAGTTCAGTATAATGCGTATGATATTGAGGGCAAAGCAGAAAATAAAGAAGATTTAAGAAGATGTCTCAGGCTTTCTTCTCGTGATGTCAGGCGGCCATTAGTAAGTCTGTATGGTTTTTATACTGAATAGCCCTACTGCCGTAATGGAAGGACAATAAATTGGAATTAAATCATGTGGCAGTTTCCAATTTCGACAAAAATATAAATATTCTGTACCCTAGGAAAATGTGCGCCTATTGATACATATTGCTTGATGTAGAGGTAAATACCTAGAGTTGACAACCTAATATTGTGGATTTTGAATTTGCATTCTTTGGCATAAATGTTGCCAAGTTCTTCAGTCAGCTGATTTATTCCCTATAGTTTTGTCCATTAAGTTTTTCCACCGAGAGTTGGAAGGAAGAATTATCCATTTCAAATGAACTCACGGTTGGAGCGAGTTCTGTTTCATATGTAACTGACTTGGAATTTGCTGAATTTTGGCTGCTGGTGGTGTTTTCCGCCATTGACCTGCCATGTTTGGGTTAGAGCCGTGGCTCTGATACCATATGGAATGAAGAGAAAAAAATATGTATTCCATATTGCTCAATGATTATTACAAGCATTCCGCACTCAATATATAATACAATAGGAGATGATGGGAAGGAATGTAATCTTCTAAATAAGGAAAAAATAAAATTATTCCTAACTAAACAATTAAACATAATTTACAATTAATCAAGTATCCCATAATTTCGGGATTTCTTCATCGCTCTCCAACTCTTTTCCTTTCATAGATTCCTCTCTGCGTGAGAATGTCATTTCTAGAATTAACAAGAGTAGGATTAGAAGAAATTGGAAAACAAATGGAGCTTCCAGGTGTAGCAACCGGTAAGACTTCCCAAATGCAATCATCCTTTTTGTCACTCTCCCCTGAAGAAAACATT